TACATCATATCAAAAGATGATACATAGGGTTTTATTCTAATTAGGTTCCAATAAGCTCAAATAGCAAAGAGAAATAAAAAATGCAAGTAAAAAAAACAGCTTGGACCTTAAAAGGTTAAAAATTAAACTTCCCTGACTTACAGCTATAATTATTTTCAAACCACTTACTGTACTTTTATCTGAATTTTAGGATACTATATAGGAAATTCATGATACTAATTAGAATGAAGATACATATACCAACTCAACTGGTATATTTACAGATAATGTGATTGCCTACCTCTACTAAGTGTACTCATTTCATCACACAGCATCTCAATGTTGTTTGAGTAATTCTGCAAACACCTGAGGGAAAGTCCATATTCAAAATAATATCTAATGTTTATTTTCCTCACAGAAATGTGTCACACATATGCTTTGCAAAACATCAATGTTAAAATTTTTGAAAGCTGTTCCCTAAATCACTTTGGCATATAGAAGAATGCATCTGTAAGTCTTTTTGTTTGTTTGTTTGTTTGTTTTTTGCTGTCGTTGTTATTGTACATGCATATATTTTACAACAAACCCTGATCCAGTGGTATACTGTAATGTTAAATATGATTTATCTGAGATTTCAGCATGGGACCCTATGAAGCCAAAAAAAAAAAAATCTGAACAAAAGTTTACATCACAAATGTTTTCCTTGCTGCCCTGTTTTTAAATAGTTCAAAAGCCCCAATATTGTAGCATCCAGCTGCTGTGCTCATATGATGAGCAGCGTTCGCTCATGTGGCGCTGTGAGTAAATAGGCTGAGTGTGGCTCTGTGGAGAGGGGCATATGCCCATGCGGCGATGCTATCATGCACACTGATACGATAGTAGGAAACAAACTTGTCTCGTCTATGACTGAATTACAGCAAAAGAGGCTTGTATCAGCACTGTACTGCTGAGTTGACATACCCACTGCTGGGAAGCTGAAAACCGGCCCACTTGCTCGGCTGTCCTAGAGGTCACACAAATCCCTACTATGCAAAATTGCCCCTCACCCTCCTCGGAAACACACATTTGTCATTCCCCGCTTAATTTACCAACCGACTGTGTAAAATAACACTGCAGAACTGAAAGGATGGAGGGAAGGAAGCAGGCGGCTGAAGGCAGAAAGATCATTGGAAGCGAATAATCTGTCCTCTACTCATCCTCCCGTAGCAGCGATGGCTCCCCAGCGAGGAATAAAAGCCATCATGTGCAACACACTGCAAACAGAGCTGCAGACAGGCACGGAGGAGAGCTGGAGACGCTGAGGATGTGAGACGCTGGTAGTCTGACTTCTGCACAAGCTGAGCTGCCGCTGCTCTGCAGTGATTTACGCCACGCTCAAAATGGCGAGTGGCAGACCGGGCGATTAATCTGTTTAACTGAAACCGATTGTTCATACACAGTAATAGGACAGGAAATTATCAGGCTGGCTCAAATCACCACAACGACCGCATGAGCATTCAATCTGTTGAAAAGGTTAATCGGGCTATATACATTTCAGGCAAATTCATTATTACTGGCAGTCTCTATCATTAGGACAGGTCTTGGAGAACACAGCAATTTGAGAGGAGTGCAAGAATGAGTGTGGAGCTGATGGGAAGAATGGCATGCATGACAATGCACATGTAGGAAAACAAATACTGCGTGCTTAAAAGAATAGTTTACCCAGAAGTTGAAATTGCTCAAAAGTGAATTAATTTACTCACACTCAAGCATTTCTAAACTTTTATCAATTTCTTTCTGCTGTTGAACACTTAATAATATATTCTAAAGAATGCTGCGGGGGGGAAAAAAACTCATTGGTATCCATTAAGCATGGGATGATAACCGTTTTCAAGGTACACCACGGTTTGGAGAAGGCAACGTTTTAAAACCCCCCAATTTTTCTGTTATACTGCTCCTAAGGGATATTTTGTAAAGTTTATTTTAGTTTTTAGAACAACCGTATCTCCAGCAGAAAAGATATCCAAAGATGCTGTTTTAGATGGTAAAGAAATCAGTGTTATTGAAACTTATGAAGACAGCAGAAGTCAATAATTCATTTGAAAATATTCCAAAATATTATAAATGTTTCTTAAAATAAAATATATTGTGTTCAAAGGGGAAAAAGTATCAATTTAAAAAGAACTTATTTTAGAGCAGTAATTATAATACCGTGTAACAGTGATATTTTTATCCAAGGTTATCATACCACCAGAATCTTATACCAGCCCATCTATAGCATGAACAAATCATAATATGGATGTCAAGGGCTGCTTCAAAATATTTTCTTTTGAGCTCAACAGTAAAGGGTGAGTGAATGGTAAGAACATTTTTATTTTGCGGTGAACGATCCTTTTGATGGGTGAATACTTTCTGAGATCAGATTTGGTGGTTTAGTAGCGATTTCATATGAATGTATACATTTGTAAATTTTTATATGATGTGATTTTCTTGGTGGTTTGCATTTTAAAGTCAAATTAATTTAATAAAATGTAAATTGAAGAATTTTCATTGGCCAATAAAACTAAAAAAGAGAGAGAGAAATGCATGATATATTGGCATTCATCCCCAAATGAATGCTTATTTTTTATGAATGATCACGGTGGCTCAGTTGGAAGCAGCCCCAGCTGGGTCAGCTGGCATTTCTGTGTGGAGTTTGTATGTTATTCCTGTGTTCGTGTGGGTTTTCTGCAGTTGCTCTGGTTTCCCCCACAGTCATGTGGTATAGGTGAACTGAATAAGCTAAATTGGCCGTAGTGTATGCGTGTGAATGCAAGAGTGTATGGGTGTTTCCCAGAGTTGGATTGTGGCTGGATGGGCATCCCTTGCGTAAAACATATGCTGGATAAGTTGGCGGTTCATTCCGCTGTGGCGACCCCTGATTAATAAAGGGACTAAGCTGAAAAGAAAATGAATGCATTATGGATTATTTTATCTGGCTGGCCCACATCACATGTGTGCTGCAGGGCAGGCCATGAGGGTTTTGATTGGCGCCTTAGATGATGCAGCATTTTGCATGCAGCAGATGTATGCTTTAAAAAAGGTAATACAATATTATTAGCAGGCAATTTGTAAATGATTCTAGGAAAATAAAACATTTCCTTCATTTCAGCATTTAGGATTTAAAAATAATTATTACAATACAACTGTTGTTATCAGTCCCAAAACTGTCCATGTTTGTTCTAATGAAATTTATTTATGCTATTTAAGGTTCAAAAATAAAAGTTGAAAATGTATAAAATGAAAAATTATTTTTTTATTATTAAAAAAGCAAATTCATTCCTTTTCCTTTGGCTTAGTCCCTTATTTGTGGCAAAAAACAATTCCAGCCTATTTTTTATGCATTGAATCCCCTTCCAGCCGCAACACAGTACTGGGAAACACTTATACACTCTCACATTTACACATGCACTTATACACTATGGCCAGTTTAGTTAATGTCTTTGAACTGTGGGAGATACTGGAGCAACCCATGCAAACATAGGGAGAACATAAAAACTCCACAGAGAAATGCCAACTGGTCCAGCCAGGACTCAAACCAGTGACCTTCTTCTTGTTAGTTGACAGTGCTAACAATTGAGCCACAATGCTGCCCCCAAAAAAGTGAATTATACTCCATAAATCCATTCTGTTAGAATGACATATTGCAAAACATTTTCTTCCATCAGTATTGTTGTACTCTGCAGGGAATATTATGAGAAGGTTCATTCTATATAAATTTGAGACATGCTAGCAATAGCACTAGCTTTAAGACCATAATATCCCACCTTTGGTCCAAATGCAATGATTGGACAAACGTTTTATAGTCCTGAGCCCGCCACATAAGATTGAAAGCAATTTAAGTGTGTGTACCTGCTTCAATCAGTTGTACTGTACAATACATAGTGTTAAATGTAACGGGAAATTCAAAATCCTTCCAGTTTGATTGGATTGGGTTTATGGTGCTGTCTCTGCAGAAAGTTAAAGAAATACAATTCTTGTGCTGCATTTTTTTTAACCTTGCTTTCCACAAAGCGCAGCTGCCTGGGAAGCACAGCTCCTCCTATCACTTCATATCACAGCACAGCAGATAACAAGAAAATAAGGAACACTGTATTCAGTGGTTAGAACTCAGTATTGAACATTACGTGACAGAAATAGCAAGTGAATTGAGCACAAGCAGAAAGAACCAGTCCAGGCACACCAACAGTTGATCTGCACTATTACCCCCTGAACTTATGGTAAAATCCACTGAGCATGACGGGAAATGCTCAGGAAATGCTTAGGAAAGTATGGCGCACTCTTAAAGTGACATCAGCATATGAAGCCGACTTCATTCTGGCCCACAATCCCTCAACATGAGACTACACAGAAGGGGTTCATGGACAAACTATGGCAGACATTGACTGTATTACCACAAGATTCAAATACAAACACAGACACAAATTTCTGCAATGCCAGCACATATGTCAACAGATTGCACACAAATACATTCAAACATTCACACACATGAACACACAGTGAGAAAGCCCAGCTCAGGGCATTGGGGGAAGGGTGCTCACATGAATATATCGTACACTTGGTGCACTACATGCACTTAGCCTGTATTTGTGCCAGTTGAGAGCCGGAGGACAGATTTCACAAAGAGACACCAGTGCTGACTGGACGGGGGCCAGGCATTCCCTTAACTATGGCTACAGTTCAGTTCACAAAGCAGGTACAATATATATATTCTGTTAGCTTCACGTCACTTTGAAGTTAAAAAGAATGGTGATTTACCACGTTTGTACACAATATTTATTACAATAACAATTCAAAAAAGATCAGAACTTCTGTTTTATGCTTCAGATTGTTTACTCTTCTTAATCTAATGTCAATATGTTCATAATAAGTGATCCAATATTGATTCTGATCAACTCTAGATCCATCAACAAAGGCGATACTACCTGCTATCCTCTAAAGCTCTATTGCCATGGCAATAAACAGCATTATTGTACATGTAAACAGCTTCAAATTGAACTCACAGGCATTGGTCACGGCGAAGCTGTTGGCCGTCTCAATGTTGTCCACATGGGGTACCAAGTTAAAAGGGGCTTCGGATGCATTAGGGCTTGTGTTGTGAAGAAAAATGGCCAACCGAAAGGCCGTGTACTCCTGATCTGTGTTCCTGATGAACAGGCCGCCTGCAGGAAAGATGGAGAGTCATAGCAAGAAGGAAAGAGAAACAGGAGAGAGGGAGATGTGAATGAAAGACAGAAAAATAACACATTGCACCAAATGTCAAATGGGAAACTGTCTATTTAAATAAGGAGAAAAGGAAATGTATGGGTACAAAAGTACACATGGTTCAAGGATATTGAAATTCAAATAACATGCCAGATGATGAGATGAGTCAAGTGCACACTCTGAGCGTTCACAGGCGAATAACCCCATTATGCACACATGTGACATCTCTCTGGAATATTACAACATATTATGCACTACACAAATGTGTAATATTTTAAATGAAACGTAAAAAACATAGTAAAGTAACCTTTACAGTAGGTCAACCCTACCATATACAGTGAAAATGCATGTGTACTGTAACAGTCCATGAATATGCTTTCTAGAGTTAAATGCTGCAAAGATATTCTTATAGCCTTGGTAAATTTTTGGGGTCGACAAAAAGTTTAAATTCCCAGTAAAAACGCTTATCATACTCACCAATAAAATGCATGTCGATCTAATTAAAAGTATTCTAAAATTAACCCTTCAAATGCTAATCAATAATGTAAATATGTCACGTTTCATCATTGATTGGCGTAACTTATGTGCGTCGCGCATGGAGAGACTCTGTTAAGTGACGTCACTTTTAATCCAAAAACGCTTTTTTATAGCTAAAGAAACCATTTTAATAATCAATCTGTGGTAGGAAACCATGAGGAAGCAAACTGTTGACGGCCTATCACACGACCTGAGTTATCCAAAGCAAGAGAGAAGTTTACATTAAATGATCCCAGAGGCTCATAAACGCAGGTTGATGTGTCAAGTGCTTTGGCAGAGGCCAGTGTTGTAAATTGAGAGGTGTTTCCCAAGCGCTTAACTTACCTTTAACGGTAACATATAGAGATATTAGAAACTAAACGCGTATTTCAGTGTTTTTGCTTGTGTTGAGCGCAAAAGCGACACGCAGCCAGAATACATACACAAACTCGTGCGCATGCGTAACAACCACATGGTGTGTAAATGGACTTTTAAGTGAAATAATAGCTTTAACCCAAACATCTTTTCATGAGAACAGTAATGTATTGATATCTAATGGGAACTATTTTTGTATCATACCTGAAAAGGTTTTGGAATGTTAGAATAGTTGGTAATTGTTAGTGGAAGGATTTCCACATATCTGCATTGGCTATATACGTTTCTGAATCCATAGTAAGATAGGACAGTATTCTGTACATAAATTAATTTTCCAAATAATCGTTTAACTGGTAATTTTGCACTTCACTGAGCTGTGCTTTAGAGTTAATGGGAATGTCTGTAAAATTAATGTGATTATGCCCCTGCTAGAAAATCACCAGATATTTCATTCATTTATTTATTCTTCATTTATTTATATATTTCACTTCATTCAGCATAATGGGCGTGGAGCGTGACATGGAAAACCCGGAGTGTACCTGGATTGGAGTGTTTATAGAACGCTTCGAGCAAGGAAATCTGCCCCACTAATAGGCAATTCCACTCCAGACAGCGTGTTGCTTGGTGACACGAAAACCGACACTTTGGCTACTTTTGGAGCCAAATGCTTTCTATCCAGTTTGCCCAATATTAACCAAATTGCTTCAATTTGTTAAGTGATAAAGACTATAAATGTAAAAGATAAAATAAAAACATCTTTCTTGCCTGAACAAAAAAACACAATATTAAATTTTACACCACCATATATCACCCAGTTTTGTTTTATTTTCACTGTAAACAATGTTTGTTGTAATATATATATATATATATATATATATATATATATATATATATATATATATATATATATATATATATATATAGTTTTATATCAAGATTAAAACATCACATTCCTTAGACAACAGTAGCTACATTCTCCGTGAAATACTAGCCTAAATATCAGGAATAACAGGCACCAGGAGTCTGACAGCGTATGGCACAGGGCTTGATGCAGTATTGGAATAAATTAAGCCACTTTCCATTAACGAGGTGCTGAACTGACATTGAAGTCGATGTGCGATTAACCGCATTATTTTGATTTTACAAATCATTCGTTCAAATTTAAATAAACTTTCATTGCGTTTGTGCCGAATGATCCATCTTCAGTAAAACAACGTCCCGTTAGAGCCACGGAGAGTACTGCAGCACTGTGCCATAACCAAAACGTGGCACACTGATCTGGATGACAGCTAAAAACAAACAAACAAAAAGTACCCGACAAACTATTTCTCAGTAAAATTACCCCATGCTGCCATACAACAAAACCTACTTCCAGCCGCATCATTTGCGCACTGACATTCGCAGTTGACCCCCAATGCAGACGGTCTTATTTTCGTCATTCATTTGACACTGTTTAAGGCACTTGACGTCTTTGAGGAGCATCGCCGTACTTACCGATTTGAACGCTGCTCGGAAAAGCACCCATAGTGAGTCCCCAAACGCAAGAGAATAGCAATAAAAGCTGATTACAAGAAATCCTCATTTTGTTAGTTCAAATTTGTGAGAGACATTGAGGATGACGTCGGTTGGGTAAAGGACATAAAAGAGAAACGTTGTTAGAAATCCATTTTTGCCAGTTTTGTTCCCCCTGCAGTGGCACGAACCCTGGTGCGACTCCGTCCGGCGGTACTAGACGGTCCACATGCAAGATGGGGGGAGCGACAGCGGTGGGCAGTGTCTACATTCACATACACACACTCATCACACATGCGCCTTCTCACCAGCATCACATAGGCTGCACACACACACTCGTTCTCTTCGGGATTTGTGTGTTCGGTCTGATTTAGTGCCGTATTCCAAAACGGCACGCTTCTTCTCTTCAGCCGACAGAAAGCTGAATTACAGCGCGATCACCCTTTATTGTCTGACCCTCTGAAACAACGCGAAGTTGAACTAGTTGTAATAGCAATTTAGTGCTTCAGGTAGTAGCTTTCAGAGAAATGATGTGTCTGCGATGTAATGAGCAGATTATTATCTGCACTGAAATTCACAAAATAATAAAATTAATATGGGGAAATGCCATCAGTTAAGGCAATTAACACTGGGTGTATAGGCTAGTTCAGATATTTAGTGTAAAAACTGTAAAACACCAAAAAGTACGCAAAAATAGATTTGTGAAATATGATTGAACAAAATTTGAGAATAGGCTACTTTAGCTCTTATTTTTTCATTCTAATCACTGTTAAAAGCATAGTTTACCCTAAAATTAAATAAAAAAAACTAATTTATTTACTCAAAAAAACTGGAAGTTAATGGTTACAGGTTTCCAAAATTTTTTTCAAAATAACTTTTGTGTTTAACAACAAAGAAACTCAAACATGTTTGTGACAAATGAATATGAGTAAATGACAGGATTTTCTGTTTTGGATAACCTATCCCTTTAAATGTCAGTACATTTACACAACTGTGTTTTGAGGGCCTGGAAATACTTACTTTTCAGACACTGAAACAAAATGTTACAGGACAGAAAGCCAAAATGGCAGATTTTGGCCCTTGAAAGAGACTAACGTCATTTAGCACATTTTGTTGACATTTAATGAATGACCGCTGAGTTTCAATTTTCTGGTCTTTAACTCCCTATTCTATTCAGTCCCATAAATCATGCTGTTCATCACAATCTCAATTTCCTACTTTTCCACATCACCCTTACTGCTTCGGCAAAACTTCTAGTTTTAAATTTTAAGGAACACTTTGAAAAATGAGCAGTGAGTTAGTGATATTTGGCTTATTTCAAATGTATTGATTTAACTGTTGCAAAAAAAGTGATTTTTCTTTAAAATAATCTTCCAATTAATCCAAAAGGTGAACCAAAAACTACTTTAAATTAAAGCCCTGAGCTGGTGCTTTAGAGTGGTTTTCAAACTGAAAAGGATTGATCATTTGGAAATCTGTGCCATTTAAAAGATTGAAAACCTTTGCTTTAGAAAACCCAGCCAGGACATTCATCTGAATAACTATTACAAAACCATATAAGCAAATATAAAGCTTTAATGTTTTAAAAACTGGTGAATTTAGTTAACTACTAAACAATTTTGTAAAAGAGGTACTTCAGAAGTCTCTTCAGTCGAGAGACTCTCTTCAGTACCATCCATGGTTGTTTCAAATGGGTAAATACTTGCAAAAGTGACTTTTAAATGTCACTTGCAGCTGTTTGTCCTCCCTCAGATATTTGAATGGCCAAATCAATTAGGCAGCTTTAACCAACCATGGCATTCACTGTGCGTGAACAGACGTTCTGTAGAGTCTGTCAACTGCAGTGTCTCTGTCCAAGGTCCTAAATCTGCTCAGCTCCATTCAAATTCAAAACAGAGCATGTGCAAGAGCTAGCTCAATCTCTGTTTTCACCACAAGAAGGGTCTATTTACAGTTTGAAAAGATGTAATGCTTTAAAACAGAAGCTGTGGTCTAATGTTGACTGCACATAACATTGCACAACAAATAAACAATTATGGAGGAAAATCTGACTTCACTGGAGAACATTCCTTTAAACTTTAAAAATGATGCTTAAACAGAGTAACTTTTTTTAGTTGTCATGAACCTAAAATGTAATAGTTGTTTCCTATCTATTGGAATGTATCCATAGGGTCTACGTGATGACACCTGTAATAGTGTGTCCACCATTTTTGTGACCGAACTCTATTATGCTGTGTGGTGCTGGTGCTGAAATAGCTGAATTAGTGGGGGGAAATAAGTATTAAACACTTCATGTTTTTCCTGGGAATAATATTTCTAAAAGGGCTGTTGATATCGAATTGAACCAAATTTTGGGGAAGAAAACAAACATTAAAAAAAATTAAATACAAATAAACTTTTGAAAGAAAATTTTGATAGATCTGTTGGTCTCATTTATTACATCGGATCCTTATTTTGTGAGATTTCTATTGGATTCAAGTCAGGTGATTACTGGGCTATTTTACAGCTTGATTCTCTTTCTCTTTTCCATTTGAGAGTTCCCTTGGCTGTGTTTTGGATAATTATTTTGCTAAAATGTCTAACCTAGTTTTATCATCATCATCTTGGTAATCTAGATGTTTGACTGAAAAGCTAATATAAATGTACAATGATGAAGGGCAGAGGATTGCTGAATAACTACTGAGAGATTTCAGCTGCTGTCTGGGCTTTCACTGCCTTTCTACACTTCCCTTTTGTGTCTTCAATACCTTTCCTCTGTGTCATTTCATTTTATTACACATAACTTAATTTGTAAATTAATTAGTTTTGTTTTCTTTGCATATATGGATTTCTTTGGTTGTAACCCACATCCAGTAAAATATTGTCAATAGCACTTTTAGATATTTTCGTACCAAAATGGTGATGTGCTTGCATTGATCGACTAATGTTAATTCTTAGTGAAGACAGCATAAATTGCACTACTTGACTTTCGTTATTACTGAATAAAAGCACAGTTTTTGTTATGATTGAACAAATTAAATAGCCCTTTTACACTTTGTCTTACTCTTATTTGCCCAACCTAAAATGATGGAGGATGCTATAACTTATGGGTTTTTTCACTTTCATGAGATTAACAGACCATCACTCAACCATACTGTCCAGGAATGCCCTGGGATTTGTTATGTGTTAATTCTTTAGATGTACAACGCTTTCTGTGTTCAGGTTCATCTTTAAACACACTTTGACTGATTAACATGTCCCGAAATGAAGTAGTGATAGGCTTCAGTGTAAATGCCCTGAGAGCATCACTGCTGTTTGGAGTGGATTGTGAACAAGGAATATGTAAATTTCACCAATTTTAACTTCATTTCTAGACTTTATGGTGCAGCAGGTCACCAAAATAGATTTTTTTAAATATGTTTGGTTTTATGTGAGTTTTTTGATCTCCAGTAGTAGGCTATATGTCCTAAAGATTACTATGTTGCTATGGCAAACGGTAGTGAAGCCGTGAATAAATATACAGAATTGAGACAGACATGGAACAGATTGTAAGGGACAAAACACAATTGAGAAATCCTCAGATAGGTTATGACCAGCATTTGTCTATTGTTTGAGAATATATTGATTTCATTTAACAAATAAGGTAGGTGAAACAGCTTTTTGAACAAGAAAAAAATGGGTAAGACTTGATTTGATTGGGTGATTGGATTGTTTGCTATTGGTCAATCTCTTGTTAGTGACAGCTTTTTCCACCTTTGCATCTGTAAGCCTGTCTGTGTTTTTGTTGTTTTAGTTTGGTTTATTCATGTCACACCCCTTTATGTTAGTTCTCTTGTGTTCTTTATTAATTGTCTTGGTTATTTATTGTCTTCACCCCTATGTCAGCTTGTCTAGTTAATTGTTGCTTTGTGTATGTATACCCGGTTCTGTTAGCCCTTCATTCTCAGAAATTTTCTCAGTTATGTGATGTCTGTGTGTGCACAGGTTTGGTATTGTTATCCTTTAGTTTGTTTTAGTTATGTTGTTGTGCTGTGCGACTTCCCTTTGCCGTCAGAGTCGTGCAACTTCTTAGTGTCGCCAGAGCCATGTGACCCATATGTCTCCCAATCCTAGGCCTCTTGACCCAGTAGGGTTGTGTGAACCACCAGTGCTTCTCGAACAAAAGACTCTTTTGTGTCTAAAATCCCAGTGTCTCCTAAAACAAAGCCTCCTAACCCACTGGGTTTGTCTAAACTGACAGTGTCTCCTGACTAAGCCTTGATCCCGACTCACTGTGATTGAGTTTGAACTGCCAGTCCCTCCTCCTGAACCTGAGCCTCCTGATACACTGGGGTTATCTGAACCACCACTGCCTCCTGAACCACAGCCTCTTGACCCACTGGGGTTGTCTAAACTGCCAGTGTCTTCTGACCCTAAGCCTCCTGACCCACTGGGGTTGTCTAAACAACCAGTGCCTCCTGAACCTGAGCCTCCTGACCCAATGGGGTTGTCTGAACTGCCAGTGTCTCCTGACCCTAAGCCCTCTGACCCAGCATGGTTGTCTGAACCGTCAGTGCCTCCTGAACCAAACCCTCTTGACCCACTGGGGTTGTCTAAACTGCCAGTGTCTCCTGACCTTGAACTTGAGCCACTGAGATTGTTTGAACAGCCAGTGCCTCCTGAGCCTCCTGAACCACTAGGGTTGTCTAAACTGCCAGTGTCTCCTGACCCTAAGCATCCTGACCCACTGGGGGTGTTTGGACCACCAGTGCCTCCTGAACCAGAGCCTCCTGACCCACCAGGGTTGTCTAAACTGCCAGTGTCTCCTGATTCTAAAGGCTGATTTATACTTCTGCGTCAAACGCACGCGTATGCCATGGAGCAGCCTATGCGTGGACGCATAGCCCTCGCCATGGCCGTCGGTGCCGCTGATGTCCACCTCTCAAATAAGTCTGGTGTATACTTCTTTGCGAGTAGTCGTGCATTTATACTTCTCCGTGCTGTTTCTGTTGCTCTGCAATACACTTCTGAAACGCTAGCTAGCAGTATGTATTTATGTTTCTCTGTGTCGAGATTCTTCGCTGGTGCATATGCGTAGCATACGCGTGCACTTGACACAGAAGTATTAATCAGCCTATAATGTAACTACACGTCACAACGACTCATAGCGCAAGTGATTGGTCGGCTTGGAAGTGCTGACAAGTGTGGGCGGAACTGAGAGCCACTTGAGTCCGTTGGAGAGAGTGTTTAAAAGTATTGAGTGCTGTGAAGAAACTCCAG